TATATATATATACTACACACACACACACACACACACACACACACACACACACACACACACACACACAACACACACACACACACACACACACATATATATATATATATATATATATATATATTTATTATAAGCTTCATATATATCTACATATATATATATGTATATATATATATATATATATTTATATTTATATATATATACGTATATATAGTCCTAAGGTCATATACATCATTTATTTTAAATTTGTCATAATTAATATATATTATAAATACATACATATAGTAACTTTGTATGCAGGTAGTGATATGCATAACTATATACACATATATTACAAAGCTTACATATATGTTATATTCGGAATGTATTTATTCCTGAATATGGGGTCTCTGCGCCTCTGATAGCATTGGGGTTTGCATTCTTATGCGGTGATATGTCTGTATTGCCCAATGGAAGTTGTTCTGAGGCTGAGGCTCTGACACCCAAGTTCGTTAGTTTGCATAAGCTGGACTGTCGCTTTGGTATTTGCAACGCACGTACGCCGTCCCGCTTTCAACCTACTCTTAACACACCACTCGCAAACACATCGGATTCTATATACCACTCACATATTCACAATTCAAGTGCAAACTATCTTTCAGGAACAAACTTTCCCCTGTAAACTCTTATGATCCACGCACGTCAATGTACACCTTGTATCGCAGTGCATACCACGTGTACTGCCACACCACACACCCACATACAGTCATGAACTACGACGAAGAACCGCTGTATTCAGAGGAGGGCTTCTCGCCCTTCACGCACTCGGACCGTAACCATGGCAACAACGATCGCAACCAGGCACACATGACTATGCCCCCGCCTCTGAACCGACATAGAAACAGACCCCCATTTCTGAGATGTGCGCTGATAGTTGGGTTAGCTGCCGTGGTAATAGCTCTGGCTTCGGCCGGAGTGGCAGTGTATATGACAGGCGACTGTCCGGATCAGCTGGCCTGTGTCTCTGTGGTAAGTCGCAAGCGTGTACAAAGAGGATAAGCTGTTGGTCAGTTCAGTATGTCTTAAGTGAACCAAGTGGACTGATTAGTGTAATTTATACTGCACACCGATGGCTTTGGTTTTGGCTCGACTGGTAGTACATACCGTATGGGCCGTAACACACCGGTAGTTGAGAAGTGCATGTACAGGCAAATGAGTGGGACTAAAGTCTCAGTGTGTCCAAGTGTAGGATCGTGTACCAGTTGATTGGGTGTGCGATGGTTGCTGGGGTTGTCTGCTGTGAGAACAGCTCTGGTTTCAACTCGATTGGCAGTGTATATGGCAAGCCCTGGTAAGTGGTAAGAGTGTATGCCAAGGCTTGGTAGGTATAGCAGAAGTGGCCACGTCTAAAGTAATCAATGACGAGGCATCGGCTGGTAAGGTGTGTGCCATTGCTAGGATTGTCTGTGCGGGGTGTGTCACGAATGTTGTCTGAGGCTCTGAGCGGTTGCTAGTAAGACATCGGCTGCGCTATATGCTATCTGTAGGCAGGATTGTGTGGGGTACGGCGCTTGCTTAGCTGCACTGGCGGTGTGCCTGATAGGAGACTATGCGGAGTGGATGGTCTATGTAACCTCGGGGAGTGATCGGTGTGATCGAATATGCTGATCTACACCAATACGCTGACGTGTGTCTGAGTGTTCGTTACTCTACAGTCCCTTCATTTAGTGTGTATAGCCAATTCATGCGAGTTCTTGGGTTTGTGGGCATGCATAGCGTATCTACAACGCATATGGAGAAGTGGATGGCTTACAGTGCCCTGCCCAAGTTTTACAGAGCAGCCTGGTCATTGTAGTCGCTGGCTGTGCGGCTTAACCCGTGGGCGTGGAGTGTGCTCGCGTATTTGTGTTATGATCCGAGTGTGCAGTGTTTGTCTCGAAAAATAACTGCGACAAAGTTCGTAGTTGTACATCGAATGTTTGTGCAATCATCTTCATGTGTGCTATGTCCAGTGAGTTACTGTGCATAGCTTATTGAAGCGTCTGTATGCCTAATTCAAATGTGTGTATAGCTATGGAGTATGTGCACCTATAAAGTGTGTATGTAGCATATGATGGTGGTGGACAGTGTATGGCGATACATGCCCACGTGTCTTGTCTAGTTCTAGTTCTCGTGTTCGACAGCCTACACCCACCCGTATCCGACTATATAAACTGAGCATCATCTCGGGACGTGTGGCAGCATCCGGTTTGATCGCAGGCCCTTTGCGCCCATTAATAATCCGCCCACAATCCTCTGGGACTTTCGCCGCAACGCAGCATACGCCTAACTCATATACATCGCCCATGCACATATGTAGGAACCGCTTGCATGTCCCTCTCCCGCTGCCCTCGCCCAGGCCAGCGAACCTGCCAAGGTATACGAAGACACACACGAGCATAACATCCCTGCGTGTAACAACTCAGATGTCTGCCTGTCCAAGGACTGTGTAGTAGGCGCCGCAGATGTGCTTCGAGACATTGACCACAACATCGACCCGTGTGACGACTTCTTCGAGTACACGTGCGGCAACTACAAGGCTGCCAATGCCATCCCCGACGATCGCAGCACCGTGAGTCGGTTTTCGGACCTGTTTGACGCCAATGCTCAAGTGCTAAGATCTGTATGTGTGTGTGTCATATATATATATATACATATTTATATATATATACACACACACACACATATATATATATATATTTATATGTATATATATATATGAGTGTGTGTCCTTGCGAGTATATAGGTGTATGTGTCTTTTGTGTGTTTATATGTATGTTTGTCGTCTTAGTAAATATATATATATATATATATATATATATATATATATATATACTACGTCTGTAGTGTGTGTGTGTAGTGTGACGTACGTACGTACGTA